ATCACGACCCCTGCCTGTGATTGTTCCACCAAGGCTGCAGCCCAGGTCCCAGCCGGTCCTCCAGCAGCCGCTGCAGCCTCTCCGGTCTCCTGCCTGGCCCCGTGGCCGCCCTCCCGAGCGGCCTCCCTAGACTCATGTCTGGCACCCTATTTTCCAGGGTTGCCCCGTGGACTAGGACTATGTTTTTAGGGTGGTTTTGTCATTGTTGTGGTCCCTGTGGTTGTCTTGTTTTTTGGGGTTTTGTTTTTTCTTTGTGCCCTCCTTCCTGGCCCCCTCCTCCCTCCCTGCTTGGTCCTGTTTTGGTTTGGGTTTGGGTTTGGATGTCTGGGAGCCATCCTTGTGGGGGGGGTACTGTCATGATTCAGTTCCGCTGCTTCCTGTTGTGCTTTTATTTTGACGTTACTTCCTGTTTTGCTTCACAACAGTTTCAGTCTTTTTACTTTCATCATCACTCACATTAGTTTCACCTGCTCCTGATTGTTTACACCTGTTTTTCACCACATTATAAGCAGCCTTCCCTCACTAATCCCTTGCCAGATTGTTCTAGACTCCAACTCTGACTCTCCAACATTTTTTGGTTTTGGTATTTAGTGTTTTGACCCGGATCGTATACTTTGACAATTCTGTTCTGCCTTGCCCTCTTGTTTCGGACTGCTTCCCTGTGTATGATTTATCGGACTTCCCTTTGGACAATGCATTTTGGATTCCTTTGCTGTATGCATTTGCTGGTTCTAACCTTGGACTGTTATACCAACCTGTAAGTGTGTTTTGTGTTACACTGTCTTGTCTTGTTTTTCTGTTCAGCGTTAGTACTCTTATTAAAGAGACGGTTTTGTTTTATGTATCCTTGTCTGGCCTTTTAATTGAGTTCACCACAACGTTATCCGCAGCGTCACACGCCTAACCTGACAAACAGACTGTAATTTTAAACAAGGAAAAGGATCAGCTCTATTCTGTCTGATACCAATCCTGTGAAAAAAATCCCCAGATCTGCACCAATTGGATCAGGAAATCTCTAATTTGTATGTCAGTTGGCAAAAACTTTATTTTTATTTTCAAAGACCATGAATCAAGGATCTGGAGGATTTAATCAAATCTCAAGATATTTTATTCAACATATTGCAGATGCTAAAGATGCTCTAACTGCTGTTTCATGGCAACTCTAAATGAGTGGCCTACACACTTTCAAAAACCTGAAGTACAAGAAAACCTATTAAAGCTGAGGACATGACAAAATAAACTAAATGGCCCCTCTCCGCTCTGCTGTTTGCAGTAATCAGGTATACTAAATGATGATGCAGTGAGAACAGGCCAAAGATCCATGCACACAAGCATCAGTAGTCACTGGAGACCATCCAAGCTCCTCTCTCTATCTGTGCCCAGACCCTCTTCGTTCACCTTCACACTTGTCAGCTGTGACCTTCACTTCAAGTCATGTCTGTCTCATTTAAAGGATCCCAAGCTACAAAGAAGATTGCAACAGACAACAAGCGGAGAAGCCTGCTATTATAATAACTAACACTGGCAAAAGAGCAGGTGCCACAGGAGGAGGTATATATTTAGAAAAACAGAAGGAGATGAAGAACTTTATATCACTTTTAGAAATACCACAGTTTATACCAAAGTGGTTAGTAAGTGTGTTGCTGCTGCACAATGACCAGAGGAAGTGGAGAAAAGTACAAGGCCTGAGGTTAGTGCACGTCCGGGAATAAGAATAATCACCTTTATTAGTCAAGTATGTTACACACAAGGAATTTTTTTCCAGTACAGAACCGAGGGAGCCATCTGCGGCATCAACTCAGCTGATGGCTATAACCGTCAGGGGGAGTTCAGTGTCTTGCCCAAGGACACTTCAACATGTGGACTGTAGGCACCAAGATTCAAACCTTCAATCTTCCAGTTTGGAGATGGCTGCTCTACCCACCACACTGTCACCTACTCCTGTACAGGGACGTGCTGTTTTAACTGGCTGGGTCTAACCTACAAGCAGCCGGCCAGTGAATGATCAACTCATCTAAAAACACAAACGCGTTGCATGTCTGTTGATGCCTTGTTTCTGTATAGAATTATTGTTTGGCTGGTGAAGTTACTGTGTCTGCATTATGCCAGTTAAAATGTGGTGTTTCTCAATTACCCACTTTGTTTAGAGTGTGATAAATCTCTTTTCATCAGTACATATACCATTCTTTACCTATCTATGGAGGTGAAATTCAAATTAATTAATGCTGTTATGGTTTGTTGTGCTGTCCACTTTCATATTCTGTTTCAAACATGTCAGGTATTATGTGAGTTGTCATTGTCAAAAACGTAGCTTATGTATCACTGTTGTTGTTTATGCATTGTCCTGGCTTCCTGACTGGTGTGTCAAAAAGTGTTCCCGTCGAGATGTGTTTCCCCTGTTCACAACTCAGTTTCATGCAGCGACCCCCTCAGTGGTTGTGGTCAGGAAAATGTTAGGATTCGGGTTAGGGGAAACGCATCTCGATGGGAAAAATGATTGATTTCAACCCAACACTGGCAGCAGGAGGTGTGCATGTTCATGAACTATCCTCTCACTTTTAGGAAGAGGCTCTTGGGTTTTATCATTCTGAAATAATTACAGACTATTTGGCATCATGATGGGTGCAAAGCTAATCTAGAGGTATGCAAGATTATACATGAAATGGCTGGAAATGAGCATGCCTTGGGTATTTTAAGTGCATGTAAACACAGTCACTGAGTGTGCATGCATCAGAGAGCATTGTGATCCTTATTTAATTTAAGCATATGGTAGTAAATCCTCTCAGTGCCAAAGATCTGATGCAATACAATGCAAAATTGTTTACTTAACAGAGGTGAGTCACTACTGTAGTGAGCACTGAGGCTGGATTCAGGCAAACATTTGCCCTATGTTAACACAATGCAAGGGTCTGTGTTTGTGGGTTTGTACAGGATGTGTCACCTGGGCATGTACAGGTCCCAGTCTTGTTGTGACAACAAGACCCCATTCCCCTGTTCCCATTTCCAGTGCACTAACCTAAACAATAGACGCCAGCTGCAGCTGAGAGAGTACCATCATTTGGCTAATGAACACCGCCTGGACTTAACCCAGTTTCAATAATATTTCAGGTTTCAAAAGGACCTGGTGTGCTGGACTCTTCTGTCACAATCGACAATTACTTTTTGCTTTGGATTTTAATTTTAGCACATTTTTGCTGTTTCACTCTGCCCTCACCTGCCCCAGCTTGACTAAGCTTTTGGTCCTCATCTCAACACTGTGACATCTTCAGTAGCATCACTGGACCTGGAACATGGTGTGGGTTCGCAGAAACTCTCCAGGGGAACCACTGGAATTGGTATTGGTTTGGTCTCTGGGCTACTGGATAGGAAGACACACCGGCCAGACTGTCAGCATAAATAGAAGTAGAAAATACTAACCTGAAGTTCTAACCAGACCAGTAACATGCCCAGTGGCTGTAAAGTACGTATATGTACTCCATAGCAGGGGCCTACAGT